TGGAAGGGGTATATCTACATATATTATCTGTAATTCTTCTAAAAGAAAGATTTGTCTTATATTTACCATTGATTTACCAAAACATTTTTTTAAAAGTCAAATAAATTGACTTGTAAGCCATCTTATTAGCAATGATTTCTATCAACAGTTACGTTGATTTCTCAATTACCTGAATTAAAAACAAATTATTGTGAACATTTTTTCGTTTTATGTATGCTAAAAACATCACACAATTATGACATACTTGGCATTTAGCATTTTCTCTGTCATTTATTTCAAGTGTCATGTAAAAAGTTGGTGAAATGGTAATTATGGAACACATATTTTACCTAAGACATACACGATGAGACATACACTTGTGTATACATTATATAATGAAAATGTGCATTTATGCATGAGTTCTAAAGTACTTATGCTCTATAGAAACTCTAATATTCTCATGGTAGGAAATAGCTGCTTTATATCGCTTTCTTCGACTACCAAGATAGAGTGTAGGTAAAATAAAAGCTATCAGAAAATTCAGTGCCTACAAAACTATGATGTTCTTCTGCACAGAAAACATAACAATAACAACAACAACAAAATTCCCTTATATTCTGGATTTGTTCAATATTACCTGTAATTTTTGTTTAAGCACTATACACAGCATTCTTTCCTTTAAAGATATTTAAGCTTTATAGTATTTTAAAGAGGTACTTAAGCTGAACTGATAAAAATGAAACAACTATCTCAAAGTCACTAATACAAGTTTGCCAGTATGCTTCTGGTTTAGAGTGCCTTTGAAATTGGGTTTTAAGAGAGAATTATAACTAGGTAAAATTAAGACTGGGGCTCAAGTGGTTAAAATTTCATGCTGGTTTGGTTTGGGCTTTAAAATATGTATTATGTATGTATGTATCTACATAATTGGAACCTATATGAATTTCCATTATTTTAAGTCCTTAGGATTTTTACTGGAAGTGAGAACAAATATTCTTTTTTTTTTTTTTTAAAGATTTTGTTTATTTATTTGACAGAGAGAGACACAGCGAGAGAGGGAACACAAGCAGGGGGAGTAGGAGAGAGAGAGAAGCAGGCTTCCCGCGGAGCAGGGAGCCCGATGTGGGGCTCGATCCCAGGACCCTGGGATCATGACCCGAGCTGAAGGTAGATGCTTAACGACTGAGCCACCCAGGTGCCCCGAGAATAAATATTCTTATAAATAATCAGTATTAGCATAATTTTCCACTGGTTTTCTAGCTAAAGAATAAAAACTTTCCCTAAAGTTTCAGAAATTAACTGTGCAGTATGATATTTGCCCATTGGCCCTTGTAAAGACCAAATGTTTACGTGAGTTAATCCTCTTGTGTGGCTTCTTCTTTTAGAAGTGTGATCTGTGGGTGATACTACCTGATTATCTTGTCTTCTAAAATATCCACATATTAAAGTATATGTAAATGTAAAGAGAAATAGATAATAAAAATGAGACTAGAAAAATAACATTTAAAAAATTAATAATTTTGAATTTGCTTTTATTTTTTTAAATTTTTTAAATTTTATTATGTTAATCACCATATATTACATCATTAGTTTTTGAATGGGCATATTTTCCTAATTCTGGCATTTTTTTTTTTAGATTTTTTTTTATTTATTAGAGAGAGAGAGAGAGAGAGAAACAGCATGAGGGGGGATAGGGTCAGAGGGAGAAGCAGGCTCCCTGCTGAGCCGGGAGCCCGATGTGGGACTCGATTCCAGGACTCCGGGATCATGACCTGAGCCGAAGGCAGTCACTTAACCAACTGAGCCACCCAGGCGCCCTAATTCTGGCATTTAAATAAAATGACCCATTGATTCAAATTTCTGACTCAAAGGACTCTAACATTTGACTTAAACCTCCCATTTTTCAGGTAAGAAATACACCTGGAAATATTAAATTATCTTACCTCACCTAAGCTCATTTCTTAAAATACAGTTTTGTTTAAAAGAGTTTTAACTTTGGTTTGGTTTCCTAAATTTATTTCTGTGATGGCATTCATTTTTCAGCCCTAATATGTGAAACATCTAGATAGGGTATAGATTGACTGCACACACAATTTTACAGAGTAATTTATGTGATGAGTCATGGAGTTACTGAACCAGTCAGGAATCATAAGACTCCTGCTAGGTTGAGAGAATCAAAAAAAAAAAAAAAAAGAAAGAAAGAAAGAAAGAAAGAGGAAAAAAGCACAGCAATGCAAGATAAACAGCAGATTTGTATGACATTCTTAAAAGCATCTGTTTCAGGATACCCTGCTGGTAGAGGAAAAATTAAATTAGACTCAAATATAAGTGTGACATATTTTAGAATTCAAACTGTCACTCTGCTTGTCAGACAGGCCTATGTTACTTGTATTCATAGCAATTACATTTTTTTTTAAATTCAAGAGTAATCTAACAAAAGATCCCCCCTCCCTCTGCCAATGCTAAATTTTTAAATACTGGCAAGAAAATCTTAATCTGTAGAAGACTTTTATTTTGTTGGAATGGAAAGTTTTTCTTCCAGTGGAAAAAAGATTGTTTTTCTCCAACTTTGGAGGGATGCCAGATTTATAATCATTTTCATTTTAACTTTGTTCACTTGCTAAGGAAAAAAAATAGAAATAAACTGTGGAGTTTGGAAATAAGTCTATAAAACTAAAAAAAGTTAACAAAGGAGTGATGACTAATAATGTGCATTTGAAATGCTCCATCACATTTATTTGGGAAGTGAAGGATTCTGTCCTAGCAGATCATCTGGAAGCTACACACAATACATGCAAGGTACCTTGACTTTGATATTGTTGGCCGAATGAGTATAATTCTCTCATTCCAACATCAAAGTTAAATAAATTGACATCTAACATTGTGTTTTATCATCTCCCACCATTCAAATTCTAACTCAAAAGGATGTTAAAGTATATTTTGCCCCAACCTTCCATTTTGCAACTTAGCACATGTGAAAATACGAAATGCCTTAACTTTAGCTTACTAAAGTATTTAGGGAGAGTGAAGTAGAAGAATCAATGATGCTATGGCACCCTACCTTCATGTATTTGAATAGATACAGATGCAGAGGTATAAATACATTTATGAACCTTACAATAAGAATACATATTTGATTTCTAGCATAACTGCTATGTAATTAAATTAAGAATACCTCAGAGTTGGTGAATAGATTTCTAAAATTTACTTTTTACCAATATATATGGTTACATTTTCAATATTTCAGGTGAGAGTTTCATTGGCTTGGCCTCTTATAGTTGTTCAAACTCCATAAAGAAAGAAAAAAAAATTAAATAGCATAATTTTATGTTTAGGTATACAATAATTAGAACAGAAAATGCGATTATAAAATAATTAGATCCTATTAGACTGTACTGTTCCAAGAACTGCTTCTGAACTAGCCAGTTTGACTTTGCTTCCTTTTTTAGCAACCAAACTATAGAACTATAGAACATAACATGTAACATCTAATCATCTAATTATTATGATTTAATTTAATATTTTGAAGATTTCTCATTTATCCTATTAGGGTACTGAAGTTTAAATATTAGGAGTGAACCTCTTCATGTCAGCAGCATAACTGCTGATATGTAATCCTAATACTAACACTGGTGGTTTTCCATCCAACTGTCGGTTTTTCTTTGGGAGCAATGCAGATGTGGTATTATTGTTTTTAGAGCCTTGTACTTAGAAAGTTTGATTTTGTCTTTCCTTTGCAGTAATGCATTTAGTGTAGTTTTTAAACTTTAATTTTGTAAAGGACAGATGTGCATGTGAGTGTGTGTGAGCGTACATGAGCACGCTTTGCAGTTACCTCAAGAGTCATGAGAGTCCATTATCCCTGATGTGGATGTTAGCATTAATGACTGGGTAGATTTTTTGATATTGTAGACTTCCTTTTGAAAGGCAAAATTCCTGTTTTATATGAAAGTAGCATGATTATATTTTGAGAAGATACAAAGTTATAAAACATGAAGCATATTTCTTACTAAGATACAGTAACACTTTTTTTTAGGTTGGTAAGATACTCAATGACAGATTTTTCTCATTTCCTTCCTTGGCATTAGGGAGAAATTGTACTTTTTCAGTGAAACCCTGGCTTCAGCTAGACCCTAAGACCATATTCAAATTAATTAATGTAAATTATATTGCTTTTTTAAAAAAACATATATTCTATTTTCTATCTTTTCAACATCTGAACACACACACTCAGAACACACAGTTGAATACTTTGCACTAGTAATGATCATTAACAACTGAAAGTGCAATTACTTTGCACTAGTATCTTTGCACTGGCATCTTGCCTCAAAAGGTCAAGAAATTCAGACTGGGTAGAATTGATGAAGTGGGAGGGGAAGGGTACACCAGAGCTGAGAACTGTCCTGCGAAAACACTTAGGTTATACCCTCATCTTCAGTAATGATCTGAGACCATCAACAGAAAGTTTCCAAATAACACCGCCTTTCATGAAGATATATGATGAGAAGAGCCAAAGCACACATTACAAAAGGGACTGTGCTGTTGATTAAACACCTGCAACATTTATCTTCCTTAACTTTACGACCTTCTTCTGATAAAGCCAGAATAATGGATTAAAAACAGATTTGTGGAATAGTTGATATAGTTATTTAGCAATTTTAACTACCATGCACCATAAATAAAATATTAGGTATTTTAATTTTATCTTTGGCATGAGGAAACCATATATATAAATTAGTGGGTAATCCATTTGGGGTTGTCTTTTCTGCCAGGAATTCATGTTATTAGATACAGAAGTTAAGAGCAAGTAAGGAAGAAGTGTTGGTTCTGAGAGAGCAAATTACAAATAAGGTTTTTCCTTCTGTTTGCTTTGTTGTCTTTTTATGATTTTTTTTTTCTTGTGCCAACAATTAAGAGTAAAGTTGTTGGTAAGTGAAGCAGGGTTGTTTTCACAGAAAATAAAAACATTTTCCCCATAAAGCACATAGATAATGACAATTTTTGAGACCATTCTTTTTTTTTTTTGAGTTTTAAAATGAGTTTATTCAAGAATGTTCTTAGGAAGGCAACAATGTTTGTTATTAAAAAAAAACCTCTGTTTCTTCATGCTGAAAAGGTAATGTAAGAGGCTAGAGTTATAAGCTTCTTTCTATTGGAATTCTGATAGTATATATAGCACAGTGTAGTCATTTCTGCGATGCCAGAATAAATTAAAAAAAAAGTCTCTTCTATGCTTCTCTTCAAAAAAGCGATGAATAATAACAGAAGATGGCATTAAAAAAAAGCCATTTTTTTTTCCAATTCATTCTGTAGTATTGGAGCCAGTATTTTTACCATCACAGGCTACAATTTTCACTTTATCCACTTTAATAAGTTCTGTCACCTCTCTGAATTCAACATCATTCAACACAAAAGTCCACACGTTATCGCAGAATCTGTATGTATTTAGAGAGCCCCTGAAATTGACTCTGTTCCTGACCCTCTGCGCCAATGCTGTATTTATAGCTTTATCAAACTGAAGTAGAACTTGAAGGGCAAGTTGGGGGGTGATCTGTTGAGACTGTATGAGCTCATCAAGGCTCTCCTGGAGACTGTTTCCCAGAGTGGTATTTCTGTATAACTGATATGCCATGGCTTAGGAAGAAGAAATTGTTCTTCTTATTCAGGCTTGCATTGATGTCCTGTGGGGAAGGCGCTTCCCACCGCGGAGCGGACAGAAGTGGAGGAGCTAGCTGCCCAGCAGGAAGCACCTACTTCCCGACCACCTCTTCGGCCGCCGCAGCGAGACCATTCTTATGTATTTGTTTAATTTTTTAATTTTTTATTTAAATTTTATTTAAATTCCAGTTAGTTAACATACAGTGTAATATTAGTTTCAGGTTTCAAGATAGTGATTCAACATATCCATACAACACCTGATGCTCATCACAGCAAGTACCAATCCCCATTACCCTATTTAATCCAGACTCACCAACCCACACACCTCCCCTCTGGTAACCCATCAGTTTGTTCCCTGTAGTTAAGAGTCTCTTATGGTTTGCCTCATTCTTTTTTCCCCTTTGTTCATTTGTTTTGTTCCACAAATTCCACATATGAGTGAAATCTTATGGTATTTGTCTTTTTCTGAATGACTTATTTTGCTTAACATAATCCTCTCTAACCCCATCTATGTCCTTGCAAATGGCAAGATTTCATTATTTTTTAGGGTGGAGTAATATTCCAGTGGGTTGTGGGTTTATTTCTGAGTTTTCTACTCTGTTCCATTGATCATATGTCTCTTTTTCTTCCAGTGCCATACTATTTTGATCACTATAGCTTTGTAATAGCTTTGTTTGGAGTTGTGATGCCTCCAGCTTTGCTTTTCTTCTTCAAGGTTACTTTAGCTATTTGGGGTCTCTGGGTTTCCATACAAATTTTAAGATTGTTCTAGCTCTGTGAGAAATGTTGTTGTATTTTGATAGAGACTGCATTAAATGTGTAGATTGCTTTGGGTAGTATAGACTTTTTAACAATATTTGTTCTTCTGATCCACGAGTATGGAATATCTTTCCATTGCTTTTTTGGGGGGGGGTTATTTATTTATTTATTTGAGAGAGAGAGCACAAGCATGAGTTGGGGGGGAGAGGGAGAGGGAGAGAGAGAAGCAGACTCCCCACTGAGCATGGAGCCAGACACAGGGCTCAATTCCAGGACCCTGAGATCATGACCTGAGCCAAAGCCAGATGCTTAACCAACTGAATCACCCAAGCAGCTCTGTTTTTCCATTTCTTTGTGTCATCTTCATTTTTTTTTTCATCAGTGTTTTAAAGTTTTCAGAGTACACATCTTTCACCTATTTGGTTATGGTCATTCATAGGTATCTTATGGTATTTGGTGCAGTTGTAAATGGGATCAATTCCTTAATTTCTCTTTCTACTGCTTCATTATTGGTGTTTGGAAATGCAACAGGTTTCTGTACATTTATTTTATATCCTGTGACTTTACTGAATTTGTTTATCAGTTCTAGCAATTTTTGATAGAGTCTCTTGGGTTTTCTATATAGAGTATCATGCCATCTGCGAATAATAAAAGTTTTACTTCTTCCTTGCCAATTTGGATGCCTTTTATTTCTTTTTGTTGTTTGATTGCTGAAGCTAGGACTTCTAGTACTATGTTAAATAACAGTGTGAGAGTGAACATCCCTGTTTTTTTCCTGACTGTAGAGAAAAAGCTCTGTTTTTCCCCATTGAGGATGACATTAGTTGTGGATCTTTCATGAATTTGTTTTAAAATAGCTGTTGTCAAATCTCCTATTTTACTCAAGTATCAGAATAGGACTTGTATTAACACAAAGATAATTGTGACTCCTTTGCTCTATGTTTATGTGCACAACTAGTAATTGCCTTTCCAGTAGAAGAAAATTGAAGAAGTGAGAAAATATATTTCACAGCCTAAAACTTGTTTGGTTAATCTTTCCTAAATTGCTGATTTACATCTGGCTCTATTATCCTAAACCCACACAAAAAGTAAAAAAATAAGTATAGTCTTGTGTTTAAGAAAGTGAGAACAATCTTCTCTTAAGTATCAATCATTAATTTGTATCTACTGTCTATCTCACAGTCTTCTCTATCATTCAGTTAAGGGTTGCAAGTATGATGCCAATTCTTGTCTCTCTGTACTTCAGAGGAACTTAACAACAGCACCTCAGTAGGACTTGCCTTGTGGGTTCTCAGTAAATATTTATTCTTTTCCTGTAAGTTTTAGAAATATGTCACATCAACATCTGTGAACATTTCCCATAGCACTGTCTACTAACACCTGTTCCTTACCTCCAAAGTTTGTCTTTCAAAGTCCATTCTCTGTTCTCTTTGCCTTTTTAGGTACAAAATTGGTAGGTCTTCATTCACTGCTCATGAACTTTGAAAACCATTTCTATTTACCACATTCAGTAATTGGGCAGGACAATAAAATGCTCAAGAATCAGGTCTCAGGAAAGAGACTAATATGCAAAGACACCGTCACTACTTTGTTTTGCCTAATTTCCATATGCAGTCCACAAGATTGAACAGGTTTGGTGCTGAATGCAACAGAACACAATTTGATTGTTTTGCTTTCTCTGAGAATTTGTTTATTACATCTGCCTGGGTTGGATACCAGAGAATCCATGACTTCATTGGTCAGATAGTGAAAAGTTGTCTGGTCACACTGACCCCTAAAATAGTCTCTGTTTCTAATTAAATGACTGCTTTAGTGTAGTATTACACATTTCCAAATTCATGTGCATTGTTCTGGAGCACAGTAGCCTGGTTCTTGAATAGGGAAGGAAATAAACTTTCTTTTTCTTTTCTCTTTCTTTCCTTTCCTCCCTCCCTCCTTTCTTTTCTTTTCTTTTCTTTTCTTTTCTTTTCTTTTCTTTTCTTTTCTTTTCTTTTCTTTTCTTTTCCTTCTTTTCTTTCTTTTCCATCTAGAAGTCTTACCCTTTTCTCCAACTTTGCTAATTGCAGGATGGTATAGGAGGAGCTGGGGAGAAGAAAATGGGAGTACAATCTCAAAAGGCCCTTCTTAAATAGTACCACCCTGAGGAAGTGTTGGCTGGCATTCTGGGTTCAGCAGGTTTTCAAAACTGACAGATTCTCTCATAAAGTGCTTTGGTTTGATGAAGTCTGGTTTCCTGGGAGACAGTTTCTGACATGATGATTTACATGCAGGGAATTTACTGAGCAGTGTTCTTGGAGGCATTATCTGCAAGGGAGTGAAGGAAGCAAGGTGGTATAGGAATCAGTAAAACTGGGATATGGTCACAACAGAGGCCTGTTGATGCCACAGGGGGAGCCATAGAGCTGGCATGAACACTAAGAACTGTCCAGAATTGAGGTAAAGGGTCTTGTGCCCTCACATTTCCAGTATTGCCCAGTCATCGACAAATCTGCACATAGTGATGGGATATAAACTTAGGTGAGGCAGCTCTGTTTCGCAGAGAATAATTCTTAAGGAGTCTCTTATGAACTATCAACAGTCACACTTCTGGCAGCTGGGAAATGAACATTTGAGTTCTAAAGAGGAGATATTTTTGGCATAATATAGCATCTGCAACAATTAATCCATTGTACTCTTTAGATGCATTTGTTTCATAGAGGAATGCATGTAGGAAAACCTTATAAATTTTCTCTTAATATCTACTACTTTTTTTTTTAAGATTTTATTTATTTATTTGAGACAGAGAGAATGAGAGAGAGAGAGAGCACATGAGAGGGGGGAGGGTCAGAGGCAGAAGCAGGCTCCCTGCCAAGCAGGGAGCCCGATGCGGGACTCGATCCCGGGACTCCAGGATCATGACCTGAGCCGAAGGCAGTTGCTTAACCAACTGAGCCACCCAGGCGCCCAATATCTACTACTTTTAAATACATATTTATTTGATGTACTTAATCTATATTTAGTTTGCTCTTCTTAGAAAAGACATAATCCAAAAATAATATATAGTAGGGACAACATATAATTTCTCAATTTGTGATAGCAATCAAATGTTGATATATTATAATCAATATATTTTATGTACCTTTGTGCCAGACATGGTCCTGTGAATGATATTAAAGCTCAGAGCAAAGAGACTAGAAATACCTGATGGAGCAGCAGATACTTATATCTGAAGGCATTGAGAAAATCATGATGGAGGAAATGACTTTTGTGGAAAATAGTTCTAGAGATAGGGCAGAGCACAGCTAAACACAGAAGGAGGAGAGAGAGAGAATGACTTCCTTGGGGAGTGTCAAGCAATTCACCTTATTAATAACAGATGGTAAAAATTATAAGAAAATTTAAAAGATGAGAGAACACAGGTGTTTATAAAAATAAAGAGTTGAACTGAGTACTTTTATCTTGATTATAAATCTTTGTTCAAATTTAAACAATGTGAAGTCTCTCAGATATTAAAAACTATAAGAAAATATAGAGAAGAAAATACATTAGAGAAAAGAGAGTGGAACAAGAGGTTCAAAAACTGAAAATTCAAACTGATTGTGGTTATAAGAAATTAATAATTGGCATTTTCATATGTCTCCATCTAAAAATCTGTGCATCTGTTATGTTTTTGTCGAGCATGAGTGGAGGCCCTGCAGCTTCTCCTGTACAATCTACTCACCTTTTCTCCACTTCTCTATCACTACAAAGAGTTTTGTTGAATGTGGCTCAGAAATCTCTTTTCTATTAAAAAACTAAGTGCAAATGTAATGTAAGGTATTAGATCCTTTGCTAGGTTTGATTAAACATCCATCTAATTTATGATATCTAACTTGCATATAGAATTCAAACTCTTTCCAATAATGTTCAATATTCTTCTTAATTAAAAATAGATGAAATATGGTATTTTTTACCAAAGGAAAGTCATAATGTTGATTGAAAATAACCTCATTATTTATTATTGTGTTTCAGTTTCTGCAACTATAAAGAGAGGGAGTTTGACTAACTGATCAATATAGACTTCTCCAGATTTAAATAATAATTAATACAATTTTGATATTATAAAAGTAAAAATTGAGTAGATTTGTAGAAGTACCAAAGTGATTTTTGAATGCTATAATTAAATTACATCTATTCACATCAAGCATTTTAATATATTCTTATTTTTTAATTAGCCAAATGTCACATGGCTCTAATTCAGTAAGTGGTGGGCTAATGAACTACATTGTAAATTCAAATATTCTGTCTTAATGTTTTAATGGACAAGTATACGTTCTCCAAAGTGCTAAAATAGAAAAAAAAAAAGATACTTTAAGCTTGATCTGAAAGGCTCAACCTGAC